CTCTATTACGTAAAAGGCCCTAAAATCCGAAGATGTCATTCACGTGTCCTATGCGCCAGATAAGATTCTGATAATGTATACCTGAAAAGAACCCTATTTGGATAGAAATCATCAAGTTTCATCAAAGATCCCTTCAAACCTCTCTAACCTCTCTCACTCTAAGTCAGCTGCTGATTTCACATGATTTCTTGGCGTGAATGTGCCCACTCACCTCTTCGCCAACCCTTTTGTGTCCTTTTCCGGAATCTTCACCATGACAGATGTTTTGAGTACTCATAAAGCTACCCATCAGCACGTGTCCTCCTCCCCCGCATGTTGTATTTACATTGTCTTCTGTTTCGTTGCCGAAAGCTGTTGCCATGAGTGGCGGTTGCTTCCTTAGGGCTTCTACGGTACACATGTTCGTCACAATTTCCCATTTCGGGCTTGTTCCTGTTTTGAGCTCGGTTTCGATCCCGTGCAATTTCCGTGCAAAGGACTAAATTTATCATTTCCGCTTTCGTCACCTGCTATTTTCAGATGTACCTTGTGTCAGTTTTTTCTGCACTGTTATGCATTTCAACCGGGGCGACATTCATGGGCAATTCGCTGGGCTCGGACCTCTCAGGTGAGCAATTTGCAGGGTTCTGAGAAGGGGACTATTCAGTTCTGTACATTTCGATAACTCCTATCAGACATATCTATGTAGAAAAATCAGCCAGACATAGCCAATTAGGCCATGAATGGCGAATGACGTGTAGAGACTAACTAGCAGTTATGAGACCATCACCTAAGTTTTCATAAGAAAAAATGACGAAGAACAAACCGAAGAAATTCTGTAAGGAGCCTTTTTTTGAAATGGTACCGATTTCAGGTGGTCGATTTCTCTATGCAAACGAATATCCAACATCTGAAGAAACCCAAAAACGGCTAGTTCGCGAGCCTCCGTTGATAAAAAGAGGTGAGTACGGGGGTGAACGGATTGAATTACCCGCGAGTATTCGGGCTTCCGGTTTCTAAAACGATGCCATCGTGCCATCAGGTTTGTTGACAACATGACCGCTGAGTGTTTCCAGGATTGGATCCGTTCTCGATTCCTTCGGTGATCAAGGAGCCCCCATTGAAAAGGGGAGACAAGCGTGATTCCTACGTGTACCCATCCACGAATTCGCAACTCTCCGACAGGATTCCTCTCAGAGAACCGCCATTGAAACGAGGCGAATCCCTCAACGATGCGGTCTACGTTCTTGTACCTGAACGTGAGGAGAACGACTACGATGGTAACCTTGCCGGTAAGTTACTCAAGCGTTTTCGCCCAGATCTGTCAGTACAGAGAAGTGATTTTTCAGGTTCCAATGGGCTCACAGACATCCAGTTGCCATACGATCACGCCTGGCGGCTACTGCAGGACCGATCAACGAAAGGTGTTTCCAGTTCTGAATCTGCACCACGCTCACAACTTCGGGCCCAGAGACTTCTTCCCCGGATATGGCATTAGTATCGCAAACACTCGGCTGTCTTCTTCTTTTCCAGTGGAATCTCTTAACTCTTAACGACTCGGTCTCGTCGTTAGCTTTTTAGGTGAATGCAGTGACGTCAACTCAGATGCGTTTTCCATCTATAAATATTGAGTGTTGTTTTCTGTACATAAATTTTAAATACATCGCAATATGACGTCACGATTCCTCACATACAGATCACATAAGCTTCGAAACACATCACCGAAGAATTTTTTACTTGAGGGCGAATTTCAGACCTCCTAGCGCTGGCGACCTGGCTATGGCGCGTTAACTAATCTTGGTCGCCGAAGTAGCATCGCATTGATAACTTCTGCGATTATCTGTGAAAACTAGAACAAATTATTTACAACTAAGTGCCATATAATTGGTAGAGATGGTGTACAGGGGGGGGGGGGGGGCAAAAAAGTCACTTTGCCCATGGCGCACATCATCAAATTTTTCGTCGCACAGGATGCCGTTGTTGATGAATGTTTTACGGCAGAATATTCCTTAGGTGTCCCCCATAAGCAGAAGCAGGCCCTCCTTCACTGCCCCCACCGTCTTCAGAATATGACGTCATCTGCCTCGCGTCGCGGCCCTGAAAGCTGCTATAGATAATTTCTCCGGAAAATCAAGCGCTGGTACAATAACCTTCAAAAGGCACTAGCTGTTGCTTGCTGCAATGACAGCATTTGACTCGCGTTCCAGGACGATCTAATGGAGTCATTGGTAGCGCCCTCGACGACACGCGTTGAAGGCTCCGTACCGGGTGATCATGTATTTATCCGTGGTACAAATATCGGCTGAATGTCGGTGGTAATAAAGCGCTGTATTCAACCCTAGATAGATAAGACTGTGGCTTCTTTCATATAAGCAGTTAAGCCTACTTTGGTTTGGCTTTTGGCAGCAGGTAATTTAAATTCGCTTGAATGTTGAGGGAAATGACTTCCTTTTTTTTGCACCCTTTCCCCTGTAGGGGTATATGGCGCCTCACAAAGCGCGCATAGTCTTTGCTTTAACCCTGCATCGAATCTCTCCCACGCCAAATAGATATTGATAGATATGTGATTCCGGGAGCCCGGTACTGGCAATCCCTAAACTGCTTAAAGGAATCTTGCGCGGAAAAATCATGATTCTATTTCAGCCATAAATCACTGGCTTGAGACTCATTATCCACGATAATAGTGAAAAGAACTGAAGTATTGCTTTCGTTTTGATTAGAAATTCGAAAACTCGAAAAGGCTGCTACGCGTTCGAATTGCCCACGGACGTCTTTCACGAATGCTGGCGACGGGGATGCTCAAACTTGGTTCTTGGAGTGCATTCACTAGAAGCTCTTTCTGGCCTTCTGCTTCGTTGCATTCACATCTTACACTTCTACTCCATCCTATTCCATCGATCGATTTGTCTCCACTCTCCGAAATCGCGCGCTTTAACCCGATTCTCTCATTGCGTCGCCTGGTACGTAGCCGGCCAAACGCCGTCTTCTTTCCATGCCTCGCCTGGCTCTGCCTCCTGGTCCTTCGATGGTCCATAACGTGTAGTTTTTGTACGTTTGTTTCTCTTCAGAAACCGAATCTTCATGCGTGAAACTTTGTGTGCTATTTCCAGTGATCACAACTGACATATTCATGTTAGGAAAGAGTGCAAGAATTTTCCGCGCAAGATTCCTTTAATTTATACGAAGGCATTACGAATGGTATTTTATGTAGTTCACTAATCAGCATTGTAGCAAGCTAATCACCTTTAGATAGTGTGGCTGATGTAACGGCTGGATTGAGCCTATTGGATTTTGAGGGGGCGGGGACTAGCGCGCGGTAATGGCACCTCTCCCCCTCTTATACCCACACCATTAGCGCTCGAATGATATTTTTGAAATGTAAGTTGGAAACTTAATTCAAATTGCGAATACACAAATTCTGTATCTCGTTCGTGAAACATGCCGGTCCGTAGGGCGACATACTTGGGTAGTAGCTGCAAGCCACACTCTGAAGAAGCGATACGGGTCTGACCGGGCGCTTCTGCTCTAACGAGTTTCGTCGCCTTCTACTGTTCATAATCTGTATCGTCATAGTATGGTTCTGCACCATCAGAGCTGTCAGAATCTCAGAAATTGGAATCTCCAACACTGGCGTGAAGCGCAGCGGTAGTCCTCGTGACTAGTTGAGAAAGGAATCTTCCACGGAAAAAGCTCCGCCTCCATTACCACAGAAAACGATACCCCTTAGGCTCTTAGCCTCATGAGCATAGCAAAAAAAAACGGAACATAAGCTGTTCAGTTTCGATAATACTAATCCTACACACAAGACAAAATGATCACTCTATCCGCGGAACGAATTCCTTTAACACATTGACGACAACGCGGGGGATATATATCCCGCGCATTGCAGGCCATGTCGGACCGTGCGGGATATATATCCCCCGCACCCATTACACTCATTTTTTTCGCGCACGCCTGATTCTTTTAGAAGTTTTTTGTATTTATTTTATGGAAGATACCTTGGCGTAGCTACAAATATAGTGGCCCATAAAATGGTCACGTGTGCTTTAATTTAGAAGAGGATTTCTGAACCATACGAAATCTTCATTTCAATAAATTTTTCGTTTACTTTTTCTTTTTATGAATGTGAAGATTTAAATAGTAGTAGAAGTAGATACGGAACCTTAGGATGACAATATGTGTGTTTTGATGGAATTAATCGACGTAAAATTGCTTTGAAGCCCATTGCAGCTAGTTCTGCCATATTTCGCTGTTTCATTGTTACTTCATGTCTTTCCATCGAAATTTCACTACTATGCAACCTGAGTTGGTTGTGCTTATTACAATTTACTCATCCGGTTTTGTACTGATCATTATTCATGTACTTATCACTCAAAATCTGCTTGAACGACCTGAGGCGAGCGCGCCCACAAAATCGCCGCGTCTGTCGTGACAGCCACGACCTCGAGTAAAAGTGCTCTAAAGCAGCTGGTCAGAGGCAAGGCGAAATACCGGTTCAAACTCGCGCCATCGGCACAGGACCTTGGTTGCCTGCGCCTTCAAACTGCGCGCGAACCGTAGCCACGTCACTTCGCCGCCATTGCATCATCCTGAGCGGTCGCCTCTATTCGCCTCTCCGGTTATCGGACTTTCATCGCTGTTATTCATATTCCATCTTCATGCGATGACGCCAGCCTGCTATACAATAGTTAGTTTGACTTTATATCTTATATACTAATCTAAATATTAGCTTAATCGCCTAGCCGGGATAGCCTTAGTAGTCACCACTTCTTCACTCACCTTAGGTCTTAGTAGTCAATATGGGAGTTAGCACTTAGGCTCTTAACTGTTCTTATTAGTACTCTTCCTAATAGTAGTTAGCGTAGTCACAATCAACTTTAGTACTCTTCCTCTTTAACTTGCAATAGGATTTACATAATTACAGACTCCTTTTCGTGTATTACTTTCTAGTATGTGTTTAACAGTTTCTTATGTAGTGTTTATTCAGGCGATATGAAGAAGTATAATATTTAGGTGTATAACAGTCAAGTCTAACATGGTCTACGCCGCGCACACGCCGCCGTCTATCTTTCGCCTAGTCGATCCTTCGTGTCATCTTGGATCTCTTCTAGTTCAATCGGCAGATCGACATCCTTCGCACTACTAGGTATTCGCACGCGCCAGCATGCTCATGCCCTATGGGCTCAGGGAAGCAAGGCCTCTTGTCAACCCGCGGCAGGCATCAAGGACTTCGGTCTTCAAGCATTCTTCGCTGCACGCTTCTTCCCTTTCAGAGGTGTTGTGGGCACCCACCGGAATCCCACGTTTTTTGTGTGTCTCGTCAGGTTCACCGATGCGCTTCTCACTCCACTGACCTGCGGGCACGACAGACGTCCCCTTCCAAAAAGCCAAAACTCGGGCATCTGTCGTCAAATGTGTTAAATGGCGACTAACCCAGGGCGAGTTTTTTATAACTCTTCTCTTCGGTCAGAAGTATAGAACCCTAGGGGACAATCACAAATGTGGCGTTCACGTGCACGGAATTCGACCGACAAGAACGCTTTGGGCTTGCAAAGTAAGCTGCTCGAGCTGCAGCGAACGAGCTCTCTTATCAGGCCGTTGTCTGGTGCTCTCTCATCTGATGCGCTCTCTCGCCCCATACTCTCCTCTTCGCGCTTAGTCTCTCGTTCCTTTAGCACAGCCAATTAGGAAGGTGAGTGAGCCCTCAACCTGAGCGTTTTCGACGGATTCTTTTCCTTTTTTCTTCACTGCCGGCCCACTTGGCACCGATACATTCACATTCGTGTGCAAGAGCCACACCAGTGCGATCCTGGGGCACCTGCCTTTAAAGGAGGAATTCACGATTAGAATGAAGGTCGAAGAAAGGGAAACTGACCTAGTTGAGGGACCCACGGACCTCCTGAGGGTGCGAACTGACGCGCAATTCGCATGGAAAAATTTGACCTCGGCGACCTATCATGCCTCAAAGCTGGCGGGTCCGGCGATCTCCGCCCACCGATCATCTGATCACTCGCCGTAGTTCAATACGTGGCGAGTGATTAGATAGCTGAGAGAGCGTAGTGTTGAAGAGGGCACAGCGATGAGAGTCGCATCAATGCTCAAATCAACGGGCAAGGAAGGGGTCCCATTTCTCGGGTTCTGGGCCGTTTCTCATGGTTCTTCCTTCTTTCGTGTACCACTCACCATCCCTAGGTTAATTTGAAATGGGTTGCTTTTTCATCGTGAATTCGTCCTTTAAGGTTTCGTTTCTCGGACTTTTTCCGTGGAGGATTCCTTTGAGCTAATAGAATGCCCCATCTTTCGCTCGTTGGCGTATGTTGCACCTGACACAAATATGAGAGACACCAAAATCACTAGCATGATTAATAAGAGTAAGTGAGCC